GTGTTTAATATACCAGGGGCACGTATAACGTAGTTCCTGAAGTAGTGCACCATGAGGTAATTCCCACCGGTGCCGTTTTTGGCGTCTCCCTCTGCGCACGTTATCACCAGCGGGTACAAATCAGGCTTCGATGTTACCTGGAACAAAGTTGATTTTAGAAGAGACATCATCAACAACAATAATTGTATTTATAGCCAACATACTTCAGAATAAGGAGGCGGTGCTTGATGGAAAGAGCCGCAGCGGCTGTATCTAGGCGGCGGGTAGACGGAGCCTGCGGAATCGTGTTCGGAGGTGCGCCGGCGTACGCAACACCACAGCGACAGCATGTATACGCCGTGCGGCCGCCGGAAGAACAGGCACCAGCTGCAGCACACCAGGATGCCCACGAGGCAGACCAGCAGGAAAAGAACTTGCCTGGAAGTTATAACAGTCCTAATTGGTTACGATATCACGATTTTGAAAAGACTAAAGATTGACATTGAGATCTTTTGTGACAGTCGATGAGTTTAAAATATACGCTGCTGATGAGGCTGTAGAGAAATGGTATTTTTTTCTTTTCGAGGTCGAGTCCAATGTTTGTTTATCAAATGGAGATTGTAGAGACATGGCTATTATGGCTTTAACGATCTGATATATCCGAAAAATTTTAAGCTTCGTTCGTTTTCTGGTAGCAAAAAAATTTAAAGGATTTACAAATTCATCTATAGTAATATTATAAAGGGGAAAGATTTGTATTTTTGTATGTATTACTCAGAAACTATTAGGCCGATTTTAAAAATTCTTTCACCGTTAGAAAGGTAATTTTTCTATGAGTAACATAGATTAAATTTTGAAATCTCATGGAGACGAAGACGCGAGCAACAGTTAGTATTGTATATTTTGCTGTTTGATTTTACCATTGAGTATACCACGGGAAGGTGAAGATCTCCTTAAATGTCTCATCGTCCTGCTGGTCGGGGTCTCGGCGTTGCGGCGCGCTGCCTGGCGTGCAACAGCCCTGTTCGCAGCACAGCCACGGCGGTGGGCATAGCCTTCCGTCTTCGCATGATGCAGCATACTGACCAAATAAATATTACTCAGATTTTACACTCAAAGTGAGCTTAAAACATAAGAACAGTTACACAAATTCTTAGTAGGATTATCCTATGATTATTTTAAGCAACGTCTCCCTTGTTTTTTTAAAGAAAAGGAAGTAAACGAGCGATAACACCACAAACGTAGTGTTCATTGGTGACCATGGACATCCACAACAATAACAAGTTTTTTACGATTTAGATATAAAACACCGGTTCTAGTGTAGGGAAGAAAGTGATCGTTAACCTAAAAGCGACCACTCATGACCTGATTATAAAAATGTCTTGATTCTTAACAGGGCTAGTTCCGAGAATTTTTTTTATTTTCTTCCTTCATGTTTTCTACCATACTATTCATATTTATTGTTTACTAGCTTGCGCCCGTAATTCTGTCAGAGTGTAATTTAAAAAAACAAAGGAAAGTAGCCTATGTGTTCTTTCAGATTCTCCTCTACATCTATGCCTAATTTCATCGAGATCCGTTCAGCAGTTTAGGCTACAAACTCTAACAAACATCCATCCATCCATCTAAACTTGCATTTACAATATTAGTACGATTGAGTATATCATATAAGAATTGAGACAAGATCAGTGAATGAAGTAAACATTCCATTTCGCTGGTAAGCGAGGAGAGGAATGCACGGCGCATGCTTCCAAGTCAATCGATATTTCTGTCAAAATGAACACAAGCTATGTATGGGATATTTTTAAGAAATACTTCATGAATCTTGTACTTTTATAATTTCTATCTTAAATGCATTTATACATCAAATAAAAAAAAATACCAGAATTTAATTACTTAATTTATTTTATAATATTTACTTGAACATATTTCGTAATCATTGTAGTTAATTACTTTTTAACAATCCATTATAATTTTATTGGTTTTACTAAATTTTTGCTTGGAACCGTATAAATTAAAAATGTATTGAATAGTCAAAGGAAATTAATGGTAATCTTAAATTTTGACTTAAAAATTACTTAATAGTTAACTTACCGCTGGATTACTAAATATGAAACCAACTAATGATACAACAAGAACAGCGAAAATCATTGTTATTATAATTAGAAGCGTCGGCCCCGACATTTGTTTAGCTTACATGTTTCAACAATAAATTCTATTTGCAAAGTGCACAGCACTCTGCTGAAATTTACGAATAATTCAATTCTAAAACATCACCCCGTGAGATGTTACCGCCCCTGAGGGCAGCGCGGGCGGGACTGAAGACCACTGAACACTGAATGAATGTACGAAATGAAAACCAATATAAGATGACCTCTCCCACCTTATATATCGCACCCTTGTTTGTACATGAGAAAATAATAGAAGGCTTTCGCCGGCGACGTTTTTAATTAATTTTATCTATAGTTTGTTACACTAGCCAAAGTATTTTTTATTAAGAGAGTGTTGAATATTTCTTTAATTTTGAATTACTTATATCTACTAGAGAAGGCAAAAGGAGGAAAAAATGAGATAAAACGTAATGCAAGTCAGAAATAAGTCAGAAAAGTAAAAGCTAGCAAAAATCTTAAATATATGAGTGACATTGGGAACATTTCCAAGTAGGGTACAGGATAAGCGGCGCCTTGTTACTATGCGGCATAGCAATTTTATGTTATCGTATAGTTTTTTACAATATACAGGAATCCGAGGAGAAAAATTTTGCATAAGTCTATCTTCAAGGCGCTTACTCTTAAGTTTTGAAATATATTTTTTTACTGCATAATGAGAAAACAGTATATTAAGTACTTATCAATATTTATATTACTTACATACATACTAGACTATAAGTAAGATTTTACGGCAAAAACTTTGTTATTTCTATCCATCTATCCATCTAAACTTTCACATTTATAATATTAGTATGATTGTTCAATAGGTATTCAACATTGATTTCAATATTTATAGATGGCGGTGGAATCGCTGTTCATGTTCTTAAGGAAAAAAGTATCGGTAAAAATAGGACCTTGAATTCGTATACTTTTACTTATTGCTTTATCCTGATTTTTTAATATTTATAAATAATGTGATTATAATATTTTAATTTAGTAAATATCGATTTTTGATTCTGATAAGAAATACAGATGACTTTGACGTTTTCGTGACAGTTGGCAGTCAACAGTCATACGTGAACCAAAATTTAGTTTAGGAAGAAATATATTAAAACATTTTCAAATGTTATGTGATAATAATTGATAGAATAAATATGAGATTTATTATTATCGTCTTTTTAGCATATGCTGCGAGTGCAGCAGCGTGGGACGATGATGATTTTGAAGTATTTGACGTGGTTGAAGAAGTCAACCAGAATTTTTACGAATTATTAGGAGTAACACAGGTAAAATTGGAATTTAAATATATTTTTCCCTTGTTATTATATTATTTTTATAATGATTATATTTCCTTGTCCTATATCCACAGAAAACTGTATAATGTGACTCAAAAAGATTTTTATTTTAATACACGATATCTTTACATTTTTGACTGGAATTATTGCATATTATTATCCAGATGTAATGTAGTTTGTCTTTGCAATAATTTAGTAATGAAATTATTATTTTGTTAATCAACTTAATACAGTATAACACGAAATATCTTCTCAGGAAGCTTCTCAGCAAGAGATTAAAAGTGCATTTAAAAAGCTTACTCTAAAGCTTCATCCGGACAAGAATAGTGCTCCGGACGCTGATGTACAGTTCCGAAACTTAGTGTCAGTGCATAATGTACTTAAAGATCCAGGAAAAAGGGAAAAGTAAGTTGTATCTACACAGGGTTGGTGTTAGAGGGGGATGCGGCCGGGCGACTGTCAAGGGCGATGGACAAAATGTACATCACATATATACAAACCTCCCCAAAAGTCCTAAAAAATCTTGGCAGACAGAAATCTTGCCAGGTTGCAACTTGCATATGATGCTATAACCATTATTGCCTCTACAATATCATATTAATATTATGAATGTGAAAGTTTAGATGGATGTTTGTTAGAGTTTGTAGCCTAAATGGCTGAACGGATTTTTATGAAATTTGGTATAAATATAGAGGACATTGTGGAAGGTACTTGCTTTTGTTTTTTTTTTAATTTCATGCGGACAGAGTTAATTGCTCAACATACACAGATGACACCTATTATCCTAAATTACGTTGATGATTGATTATTCTGTTTCTTCATTATTTTAATTAATATTTGTCTATCTAGGTATAATGAAGTGCTCAAGAATGGTCTTCCCAATTGGCGATCTGCTGTATATTATTATCGACATGTAAGGAAAATGGGCTTAGCCGAAGGATCTGTGATTTTGTTTATTATTATTACATTTGGTCAGTATGCTGTCGGTTGGGCAGCTTATGCGGAGAAGAAATTTACAGCTGTGAGTATAAATTGAATTAGAAAAATTAGTTTAATTGTCAGTCACCAATCATATTTGAAATTTATTAATGATAGCAATGCTTTTAATCCAAGACTAATAAATTTTGTATAGCTATGAAATACCTGCAAGAAAAGACAGGTATTAAATCCTAACGCAATTACAGGAGCAAATTTTAAATAGCAGAGGAAAGAAACTAAAGAAAAGTGGTTTTGATACGGGCTTGGCTGAAATATTAGACAAATTACCTAAGCCGAGTATAAAGGACACACTGCCGTTCCAAATACCGAGGTTCCTCTGGTGGTTGGTAACAGCTGTGCCCAGAGGAATTGTGGAGCTGAAGAGACAAATGAAAGAACGAGAAGAGGAAGCGAGAAGACAGAAAAAGAAGTATGTATATGTTATATAAGTACAGTCAGAGACTTTTGCAGTGTCCCATTTATAGATAAATTGCCTTATTCCTAGCATTCATACAAATGGAGTAATAATGAACTGTGCCAATGATGGGATAATATAAAACAATCCGTGTACCGAATTTTTATCCTAAAATCTACTAGCTTTTTAAGTGAAACAGAAATTCCCAATCATACTATAAACATAAGTAGTTTTGAGTACCTTCTAGGCGTGTTTGTACTGACGATATCTTGTATAGAAAGAGGAAATGATCCTAGTTCTTTTTCTATTCCTAGTTTTGAATTCTGATAGAGGATGGATAATTGAGGACGGATTTGTTCCTCTCGTGTGGTGTAGGGAGGAGGAGGAGGAGAGGGCGCGTGCGGCGCGAGCGGCGCGCGAGGCGGCGGCGGGCGCCGGG